GGAAGTTTCTGGGGTCCCTTTCAGTATGTGTTACTGTTCTTTTTGTCCTTCAAAAGTGGGTAGGCAGCCCTGACCCTTAGAGTAAGGGTAAGTAAGGGTGATAAGTAAGCCTTTAGTTGTTTTTGGTGAAACATTCTTCTAGATCTTATAACCCTGGCATGTCCACTTGCTGTACAGAGGTAACTTGTGGTTGCTGTGAAGCCAAACACTGTGACACTGATGAGTCAAATTCAAAAATGGTTACCCATGGTGGACAGTGTTTGGTGGAGCTCCCGATTAAAACAAGCTTGGAAGCAGGAGTGGCATCCACTTCCAAAATAGCTTGCCTCCGGAAACCCTATGAACCTGGAGAAAGGACCAAAGTTATACAGATGTCGAGGTCTTTTGTTCTTAGGGTCTCCATGAGTCACCTACAACTCGAAGGCACTAAACATTTTAAAAATAGAAGCATAACTAGTAAAATGTGTAGGAACCCAAGGGGAGAAGAAGTGGGGGCAGAGCGGTGAGGATGGGTAGGGGTGAAACCACAGGATTGCACAGTTTGGTGGGAGAAGGGGGAAGGAAATGGGAAGGATCTGCGTGAAAAGACAGGGTAATGATCAGTTTTATAAAACAAAATACGTGAGAATGATCGGACGAAACAATATGAAGTATAATGTGAAACAATATAAACTTTGTAACAAGCCAATAATTTTTTAAATTACACTAATTTTTTTGTAAAAGTGTTTAAAAATATAAGCTTCATTCAGCAAAAACAGTTTGTAATTAAGCCATGGGGGTGGGGGTGGGAATTGTTTCTTGAAGAGAATGAAAAAAAGCATGACATAACATTTTAGTCCAAATTGGTTGCTTGGGCTCTTGAATGTCAATCTAATTTCCTTCTGGATTAATTATCAAAATATGATGATGATGATGATGATGTTATGTACCAGTGGAGTTGAGCCTATGCACAATAGTTCTAAACCCTTCTCTGTCCTGAGCCAATCTCACTGTCTTGGACACACCCACCCTCATTACCCCAGTCACTGAGTCAATCCATCTCATCCAGTGTCTTCCTTTCCTCCATTGTCCCTCCATCCTTCCAAGAATGATGTCTTTCTCCAAGGACTGGTCCCTCCTGGCAATAGGCCCCAAATTATGTGCAGTTGAACTTCAAAATCCTTGACTAGAAGGATCAGCCTAGTTCTACCCTTTTCAGGACAGACCTGTTTGTTCTCTTAGCAGTCCATGGTATGTTCAATATGCTTCTCCAGCACCACAACTCAAAGGCATCAATTCTTCTTCTATCATCTTGAGTCACTGTCCAGCTTTCTGATGCATAGCAAGTAATTGCAAAACCATGGCCTGAATCAGACACACCTTAGTCTCTAGACTGACATCATTGCTCTTTAGCACTCTGAAGAGGTCCCTGACAACAGGCTTTACTCCATCTTTTGATTTCCTCACTATCGGTGCCAAGAGTGTTAACTGTGGAACCAAGCAAGCTGAAGTTGTTTCCAATCTCAATCTCTTCTCCATGTATCACAGTGCTGCTGATTGGCCCAGTGGTGAGAATCTTTGCTTCTTGATGTTGAATTTCAATTCATACTGCAGACTACAGTCCTTGACCCTCTGCAGCAAATGCTTCAGGCCTTCCTCAGTTTCAGCAAGCAAAACAAAGTCCTGTCGTCTGCTTAACGCAGGCTGTTGATAAGACACATTGCTCAGGACTTGTCCTCACTGATCAACTAGCACATCCCACACATGTCAACTAAAACAGTTTGAGCTCACCTGCGCTCTAATAGGTTACATTTTGTTGTTGGTGCTGTTATGTATCCTCAAGTCGATGGAACCAACTCTCCAGCTGATTTTATTAAAATTATTATTAAATTTTATTAGTTTTAATGAACATTTACAGAGATTTTGGGTTTTCATTCATTCATTGTTGCACTGTTT